CATAAAATCAGAACAGATTTCTATACAATTAGATAATAAATTAGATAATAAATAAAACATTTTTTATTTTAGTAAAGATTTTACGTATTTTTTTTTACTTATCGGATGTTATGGGATTTTTTTTGTTAAACCGATTTTATGGGATATAACACAAATACAATTAGAGGCTTGAACAAAATCAGAATAGATTTCCACACAATTAGATCATAAGAAGAAGTTAGATAAGGAAAAGAAGGAATTAGATAAGAAATTTTGAATCTGCCTATTTTTTAGTATAGATAGACTTTACGTACAAATTTTGACTTTACTAGTTTTATGAGATTTGTTTTGACAAAATCAAAGACGAAACATTTACAATGTGTATTTTATGTGTTTTTTTTTTTGGCAAAATATTCGTTCTAAGTGTGATATATAAATATTAAAAATATTAAAAATATTTTATAACATCTATAAAAACATCTAAAACATTCTATATTATTCGCAAATAATGTTTGAAGCTACCTAAATTTTTCTAAACTACCCGTAAGGAAAACATGTCTAAAAATTCTTCATTTAACCTCCATATATGTATATATATAGAGAGAGAGCAAATGTGTAAAAAAAAATTATACAAATGATATTTAAAAGTATCTAAAATATTAGTAATTAGACATGTGAAATTTAGATTTTTAAAAAATCTAAATAGATAATAGATTTATAGTAGTAATTAGACTTTTAATTATTTATCTTTAAAGTTGTTACGATAGATGAGGGATGTAATTTTTTTGACTCGTGAAGATGGAATTTTGTAAGCTGAGTTATGAAATTTTCTTAAACTCGTCCATATTTATGCGAAGAGTTTTTTAAGCTGGGTATATAGATTTAAAATTGTAAAAAAAAAATCATAAATCATTTGATTTGGTATTTTCAGAGAGCTTCATTAATTTAAAAGTATAAAATAAAAAAAAAAGTACAACTGAAAAAGTTACAACTAATTGTATGGAGAATTAAACTAAATCTAATTTGGTAGGATGCATTAAATATTGATTAGATTTTATAAGTAAAATAAAATAAAATAACTGGAATAGTTTTACGTTTTGCAATATTTTATATTTAAAAAAATTAAAAAATCTTCTTTTACATGTTGCATACCAACATTTTAGGAAATACATGGATATTCCTAAATTAATAATGCATACCCAATATTTAGGAACTAATTAAATGCTAATTTGTTTTGCATACCCAAAATATTAGATGCATTAATTAAATACTTGATAAAATTAGAAATTCATTAATTAAGTTTGACTTTTTTAACTACTATATTTAGTAAATAGGATCCCCTTTAATATAAGTATAGATTATAAATAAAAAATGTTGATTAAGTATTATTTATCTATATGTAATACAATTTATCTATATTAATTTGTTGAAAATGTTATATAAAATTTAAATTGTGCAAAGTTACACAAAACATGTGTATTTAAAATTAGTGCACTAATCGTATGGTGCACATAAGTGATAATAAATTATATTATATTCATTTCAAAATAAGTGTCATCTTAAAATTTTTATTCGGAAATTCAATTTGACTACAATGTGACTCCATGAAATAATTAATTTGGTAAAAAATTAACATATATTGAAAAATCTATGTGAATAATAAGTATAATTATAAAACTTATATTGTTTCATTAATTTTTTTTTTTTTTTTTTGTATAAATTATCCAAATAAAAAATTTAAATATTGACTTGTAAGTTATGAATAATTACTTATTTGACTTTTAAATTTGGAACCTAAATTTGGACTACACAATAGATTCTCTTAGAGCACCCACAATGCATTGGGTCTCTTAATAAAATATCCTATGCCACATAGGAAATAGACTTAGCTATTAAAAAATGCCTCCCAATGCAATTAAAGGTGGACATTGTCTAGCTTATGTGGCAATAAAAAAAAAAGAGACCAAGTCCACACTTGGGTCTATTTTGGACCCAAGTACAAACCCAAACACTCATCATTTATTCCTCATTTAAATTTCTTTTAATAAATGAAACATATTAGAGCATTTTTATTGGTTGGCATGTATGCTAGACCTAGTATTTTATTTTCGTATTGAGTAGCTTTTGAGTTATTTTACTTGGGTTTGTCCATGTCATTTAAAACTTAAGTCTATTTATATACCACATATGTGAAATTAGACTTAATGCATTGTGGGTGCTCTTATATATTTCACACACACACACACACACACATGTTGGCATCCGAGTTGGAACAATCGAAACAAATTAGTGGCTAAGTGATCCCAAAAGGCAGGGGTCCCAGGCCGGCATCATCGGATGTGACGTTCAGCTCGACTTCAGTATTCAACGATAAACGACCAGAACTCAAAGATTGACAGACAAGAGGGACATCAAGTGGGAGCAGAGTTCGAGCTCACAATTAAGAAGAAAGTCCGAGCCCGGGGCCAAAAGAGGGGAAATCAAAGTTCAAGTCACAAAGAAAGACCGATCTCGAATATCTCAGGGAACATGCTCCACGACGCACCCAACCTCGAGAAATAATAAAATAAGGCCACTTGCAATATAATGATGACTGATGTGATGCTTCCACCAACTCTGCAGGCCTACGACCCGCAGGTCCCTAGAGTGACATCTCCTCGTTACGGGCCCATCAATCGGTATTAGATGGCTAATTATCATCATTTAGAGTGGACCAAGCCTCATTTAATGCTTGTCATTCTAGTTCACTGTGATGTATGGCTCGATGAACCGTAGATTAATAGTAGTTGGGAATGTTTAGTTATAAATAGTCTTATATATCATTAATGGCAAAAAGGATAAAGCAATAAAATAAAGAGTTAATTGCGTATAAAACCCCAACCTTTAGTGTAATTGCAAATTAAACTCAACTTTTTTAACTTTGCAACAAAATACCAAACCTTTATTATGTACTGCAATATATTTTGTCACAACACCACTTTCCGACTCAAGAATGTGGTGAAATCGATTTTTGGGGTAAAGAATCAAGCCATTAAGTCGCCGGGATTTTTTAGGGTGAATCGTCGAGAAATTGATCGATCGAAAATTGAGAGCTGAAGTTTTTTTTTTTCCCTAATAAAGTTGGGGCAAAATGAGAAGAAAATGAGATTAAAAGGAAGAAAAAATAAGTGTAGCGTGGATTTGAGTGCCACGCTATCTTAATCGGTGCCACGTCAAAATTTGATCGGATATGTCAGCAGGTGATATAGAATATTATACCCACAAGGCTAAACCGGTCTGCTGACCGGTCGAGAAGGTCATACCGTGGGGAAGTCGAGGAGATCGGACAGTTAATTAGTCGACCAATCTATCCCTCGACCGGATGAATGGTCGGGCAGTTCAGTCTAGCAGTTCAGTCGACCTCGATCGGTCGACCACTTCGCTGACTGAGCACTTCGTGAGATCGGCCTAGTCACAGGCGCGTGTAAGAGCCTCTAACCGAATTTCAGGAGAATATTTACCCCATGTGCAGGAGGACACGTGTCGAGAATGTAGTGGTTGATAGCGATAACCACCTATGACATCTCCCAACACCCCGCGCCACCTCTGACATTGCGCGGCGTGTCATCGTACTGACGGGCAGTTGGGGCAACCAGCTCATCTTATTCGGGCAACTATTTGGGCAGGTATCTCACCCTTATATAAAGAGGGTGAGCCTTTATCCCTTAACACGATTTTTCAATTATTCACTTCAGTATAC